TCATCTGGTTGGGCTACCTTCTTGAGTCCTCTGTTATACCTGAGATACAGAAATGAAACCAAAGAAGCAGGCAGAGGCTACCTCTGCCTCAGGTTCTGTAGACCCATGAAGGAATTTAGGTCTTGATCCCAAGAGAAAAAAATGGAAGCAGAACATTTTAAGAAGGAAATTGATAAGATCACTTGGGCTACAATGAGGTCGTTAACTATAGAAGCATTGCCGGAAAGGGGACGAGAGAGTCTAATCATAGACTATGGGGGTCAAAGGAAAGGCTTTCTTTTTTCTTTTCCAAGCAAAAGATGGTTGGCAAGAGGCCTGAGAATTCGAAAAGCAAATGTAAAACACGCCCAGCAAATACGGCTTAAAATGTATATACCAGATATACTCGTGCACATAGAGATAAATGGATAGACAATCATACAGGAACACTGACAGTATTTTTGATGTACAATTCTGAATGTTTACACATGTATAGCTTCCCGTAACTACAACCACAATCAGGATACAAGATAATTTCATCACCCCCAAAACTCTCCTTTTTGCTAACCCTTTAGTCATTCCTCCATTCCTAGAAACCACTGACTCATTCTCCACTATAGTTTTTACTTTTTTTTTTAAGAAATGGGGTATAGGCCAGAGTGGCGGGGGGTGAGAAGATTCACCAGAGAGAGCAGGGAGCAGAATAGGCAGATGTACCGAAACACACTGCTGAGGGGAGCAGCGGGCAAGACAGGAGAGGTCTGCTGCGCCAGGTTGCTCCCCAGCTGGCCCAGGATGGAACTTGCACCGCAAAGGCCGTGGACAGCCCCACAGCACTGCCTCAACCTCCAGTGCCACCAGGGATACCCTCTACTATAGTTTTAACCTATTTAAGAGTGTCATTTTGAGGCCAGTTTCTTTCACTCAGCAAAATGCCTTTATTGTTATGTTCTTATAAAACCAAGTGGATATATCAATATTTCATTCCCCACCCTACTGAATGGGAAAAGATATTTGCACATAACACATCTGATAAAGGGTTGATATCTAAATATAAAGAACTCATGCAGCTCAACAAAAAGAAAACAACCTAATCAGAAAAAGGGCAAAAGAGATAAATATAGGTGGCCAATAGACAGATGAAAAAATGTTCATCATCACTCATCATCCGGGAAATGCAAATCAAAACCACAACGAGATACTATCTCACACCCATGTGGATGCCCCACATCAAATAAACCAGAAACAACAAATGTTGAGGACATGAAAAAAAAGGAACTCTCACACACTGTTGGTGGGACTGTAGGCTGGTTCAGCCCCTATGGAAAACAATATGGAGGTTTCTCAAAATCTTAAAAGTGGATCTACCATATGACCCAACAAATCTGCTGCAAGAATACAAAGACACTAATTCAAATACACACACAAACACTCCTATGTTCAATGCAGCATTTTTATAATAACAAAGTTTAGGAAACAACCTAAGTGCCCAAGGACAGAAAATTGGATGAGAAAAACATGGTGCATGTACATGCACACAAGATGACACAGAAGATAACATGGACCACTTTCCTTATTGACTGTGGTTAGATTTGAGGGAATCAAACTTGAAGTTGGAAGCCGAACTCTTCAAAGCCATAACTGAGCCATGAGCATTATCCACTCAGATTATCCTAATGCCAGACAAAATTATGTACGTGAACAGCTTCTGGAGTTACAAGCTTGCAAGTCAAGACAAAAGATACAGATCTTTTAATGACTCACTAAAATTTTTACTTCCTGTCCATATTTGGAATTTTCTGACTCATCATATGATATCACTAATAACTACAATCACAGAGGTAAAATGAGGCTATTTCACAGAAGACAAGTGGAGACTGTAATTAAATAATAATAAAACATATAAGGCAACTTAAGCAAATTTTCCATAAGACATACAGTCAACACCTCCATTAAAAAAAGTAATTTTTTTTTAAATAAAGATTTATTTATGCATACAAGACCGGGGGTACAGGCCAGAGGTGCGGGCGGTGAGAGAGAGGATCCACCAGAGACAGAGTGGGGAACAGAACAGGCAGATTGAATGAAATACACTGCTGAGGGGAGCAGCAGGCGTGTCAGGAAAGGTCTGCTGCGCCATGTGGGTAGCTCCCTGGCCGGCTGGGGAATCGAACTCTTGCTGCAGAGGCTGCGGACAGCTTCATAGGTTGCATCTTAACCCCTTGCACCACCAGGGAGGCCCCTAAAAAAAGTCATTCTTAAAAAAAAGCAAAACTGAAGCAACCAGAGTTGGAGGGCGGTGAGAGGATAGAGGCTTAATGGAACATGGTGGAGAATTACTAGGGCACTAGTGATAGGCAGGGTATGAAAATATATACATTAGTAGAGGTTTAAACCAATAATCCCCAAATAAGATATAATGATGTAAACCTACTTTAGCTCAATAAACATAATGTGAAAGAAATAATTCATTCTCTTTTATCCTGATGTGCTCAGCGTCTGTTAGTGTTCCTCAGGTCAGTAAATATCATGATTCTGTTACTTGGGACTAATACCTTGGTCTCATCCTTGTCTCTCTTCTTAACCAGCCCATTAGTAAATCCTTGTAGTATTACTTCAAAATATACCTGGGATCTAACCACACCTCCCCTGCTGTCCAAAGTTAGTGGGATGGGCCTCCCTGGTGACGCAAGGGGTTAAGCAACACACTATGAAGCAATCCGCAGCCTCTGCAGCATGAGTTTGATCCCTGGCCTGTCAGGGAGCAACCCACATGGCGCAGCAGACCTCTACTATCTTGTCTGCTGCTCCCCTCAGCAATGTGTTTCATCAGTCTGCCTGTTCTGTTCCCCGCTCTGTCTCTGGTGAATCCTCTCAGCCTCCCACACATCTGGCCTGTACCCCGCTTCTTGTATAAATAAATAAAAATCTTTTTAAAAAAAATCTCCAGGGCCTCCCCTGGTAGCACAGTGGTTGAATGCTGGGTTTCGAAGCTGCCCGCAGCCTCTGCAGCGCCAGTTCCATCCCTGGCCGCGGGCGAGAGTCCCACATGGAGGCGCAGACCTCTCCTGCCATGCCCGCTGCTCCCCTCAGCAGTGTGTTTCGTCAGTCTGCCTGTTCTGTTCCCCGCTCTGGCTCTGGTGAATTCTCTCACCCTCCCGTGCTTCTGACTGTACCCAGTGCTTGTATAAATAAATAAATAAATTTTTAAAAAACAAACAAACAAAAATCTCCAGTGGTTTCAGTGGTCACAATCCAAATTTGTGACCAACAAGGAAGGTTCTGCATGACTGGGCCGCTGGCTACTTCTCTGATCTCATCTCCTGTCACATTCTCCCTCACTCATTCTGTATCAGCCATAGTGGTCTCCTGGTTATTTCTATAACATGTCAAGAATGCTCCTGCCTCAGAGCATTTGAATTTACTGTATCCTGTGTCTGGAACATTCTTACCTTACATATTTAAATGGCTCACTTCCATCAAGTCAATCCAGTTTCTACTTAAGTGCCCCTTATCAATGAGTCCTTTTCTAACTAACATCTAAAATAACAGCTACCTGCATCACTGTCTAACCCTTATCCTGACTTGGTCTTCATAGCACTTATTTCCTCATACTATGTGTATAAGCGTACACACTCGTGAGGGCACAAACATTTTTTTCTACCTCCCCACCCTACAAAGATACTTCAGGACAAGGAAATTTTTGTTAATCATTCAATGAGCACCTAGTGGGAGTTCAATAAGTATTTTTGATTGAATACATTATAGGCGGGGAGGACAAGACAGAAACACATGTAGATTTCTAGATTTTAGGGCATTTTCCATTTTCCATGACTTAAAATAAGACCATCGGGGAAGAGGCACAGGAAGTATAGGGTTAGAGAACAGCAGAGATAATGAAGAGCGAATTAACTAGAAAAATATAATGAAACTTCCAGGCACTGTGCAGAGTCCACTTAAGTTTGAAATTATTAGTGATGCCAATTTGTTCAGCAGGACAATTTTCTATGACAGGGTACAGGCATGGAGAAGAATGTTGATCCGTCCAGGATGGAGGACTTAGTTGGGGGGAAAACGAGAGTGTTGGGACAGATTTCAAAGTAAGGAAAGACTGTAATGAAGAATTTGTTGGATCCAAGATGGTTAAGGAGAAGAGTGAAGAGAGGATGGAGTTGAGGCTTTCAAGAGATTGGAGGGTCTGATAAAGTGAAAGAACAGTTACAGCAAAGTTTTTGAGTGGTCAGTACTGAATCTGGGCGCCAGAGCGCTTCTGGCGACAATGCGCAGGTTCTGACGGATTAGGAGGCGGATGTAAAATAAAGCTCGCCAGATCTGAGGTTCGGATGTGAGACGACTTGTCCACGTTGACTCTGAAATTACCCAGATGAAAGCCGGTCTAAGGGGAGAATGTGAGACAGCTGGCTGGATGCACAAATACGGGGATGATCTCCCCAGAGGCAGTTAAATAAATGACAAAGTCGAAGCTTCGAGGGGGCAAGGGTTTCTACTAGAGATGACAGCATCTGGCACGCGGCGCCCCACTCTGGGAGCTGGGAAGGGACGACACTAACCCGAGTGAGGGGCTCCCAGGGGTGCAGCGTCCGCGGAGGACAGCCGCGGAGACGCCAGGGAAAGCTGCTTTGCAAGCGCGACTCTCAGCGGAAGAAGGCAGCAGGCTGGGGAGGCCCCCAATCAGCAGAGACCCTGTCCTTGAGGCGCTTCCCCGCCAACCTACAGACCACCGCACGGCAGCGCCAGCCTCCAGCCGGCGCGACGAGACCGCGCGGAGCCGGGCTCCTTTGAACTCGCCGCGTAAAAGCCCGCGCCGGAAGTCCTCCAGGCCCGCGCTTTCTCATTGGCTGAGGCCTGCCCCGCCTCGCTCAGCTTCCGCCCACGCCCGGGAGGCGGAGGGCCGTCTCCACGGGCACTTCCGCCTAGCTCCGCCTCTTGTTCCCTTTTCGACCACTTCCGGTCACAAGCCCCGCCCGCCGTGGCCCCGCCCCGGCCCCGCCCCGGGCGGGCGGCCCGGCCCCGCGGCGCCGCTTCCGGTGTGGGCCCCGCCCCGGCTGTGGCCCCCGGCTGCGGACGAGTCGCGTCGCCGCCGCCGCGCCGGGGCCTGACGGCCGCCTCCTGCGCCGCCGCGGACGGAGCGCCCGCACAGGTACGCCGCGGGGCCCGCGTCTGGGCGCGGCGGGAGCAGGGCGCGGCAGGTGGAGGGCGGCGGGCGTGCGGGGAGGCAGGTGTGGAGCTGCGAGGGGGCGCCGCGGGCGCTGGGGCCGCGCTGGGAAGGGAGACGCTGGGAGGAGCCCCGAGGCGCGCTGCGCCCCTCGGGGCGATTGGAGATAAAGGGATGGGGAGAGCTAGGGGCCCCGGGGAGCCGAGGGGCCAGGCTAGTGGGGCTCCGGCGGTCCGGGAAGAGCCGGCGAGGGGCTGGGCGGGCTGGTGGAGGTAGAAGTGACCCCTGGGCTGGCGGGGAGGGGGTGATGGGGTACCTGGGGTGGGAGCCGTGGGGACCCGGACCGGAGGCGTCCGGCCGCGAAGGTTGAGGGAGGGGTGGCCCAGAGGGGGTTCAAAGCTGCAAGGAGTTCGTTGCGCCGGGGTTGGTGGTCCCCGAACTTTAGGGATAAGGGGGGGGACTGTGTGAGGGGTGAAGGGGTTTAAGACTTCTGAGGCTGAGTTTTCTAAGTAGGCAGGTGGGTGGTTGTTTGGCCCGACTGGCCGCTGAGGGACTGGGGAGAGATGGGCTCTTTGGGGGAGGGTGTGCGTGTTGGGTTGTAGAACTGAGTCATCTTGGTCTCCCTGAAGAGGCCGAGACACCTCCCCCCTGCTGGGGACGACGCACCGAGAAGATGGTGCCACGGGACGAGGAGCAGCTCCTTGACGGGCAGGGCCTGCTTGAAAAGTGATTCCACTTGTGATTGATTGACTGTTAGGGTTGTAAGGAAAATTAAAACGACCTCCGATTTATTTGCTTTATTCTTTTGTTTCATTTTCTTTGGCCCAAGTTGGTTTTATTTTAAACGGACGCTTTCCACCAACTCAGTCTCAGGTAGATGTAAAGCCCTTTTCATGCTTTCTTAACAGTGTAGAAGGGCTCACGCAGAAAGTATTGCTGGCGTAACTCATACTTTCTGAAATACAAGAAAGGAAGGAAGGCAGTAAGCGGCAAATTGGAATTTGAATCTTTCACAAAATACAAAAGGCATAAGCAGTGTTTCGAAGATACACAGAAAGTGAGAAATTTTTATGTCTGCTTTTTTGCCACCTTTAAAGAAGTGTCCCTTTTCCCTCGAATCCATTTAAAAAGTCATAAATTCAAGTAGATGTTATTGCTGGGAATGTGATTGCTTCTCCATTAATTTTCCAACATGCTAAAGATATTTAGGGGTTGGTTGTGTGTGTGTGTGTGTTTTATCTTTCCAATCCTAACACAGTAGAACAATATAAACGTCAAGTCCTACCCTGCGCCACGTGATGACAGCGTTTACACCATGTTGCAAGTCCTGTTTCCCTAAAATTTGCCCTAGCACAGTAATTCATTGAGTTATGGGATCTTGCTAAGGAAACAACTCCCGTCAGGTTTGTTGGGGGTAGGGAGCCTGCAGAGGAGGAAGGGAGAGGAGAGGAGAGGGTGTGAAAGGGGTGTGTGTTTGGAGACTGATTGGTAAGAATGCTGATAAACCTGCCCCCAGAATACTTTTGGCCTGAAAGCCTTTTCTTTATTTGTCATAGAATATCATTGTAGAAGTGAATCAGAAAGAGAGGGTATGTGAAGAGATTTACTGGGCTGTTTATAAAAAAAAAAAGAGCCATTAACTCATTCGGACAATGTTGATATTGGTTTTAAATTAGTTCATTTTAAGATCTGAGGAATTCCCCGTTGTTTTTGAATGACGATTGCAATTTGAAGCTCTTGCTTCCTTGTGTGTTTCTTTCTTTCATGTTGTTGAAATTGGATTCTTCTTGAGCCTGTAATGTCCAGTTAGCATGGCTCAGCCCACTCCAGAGAAGGCTGGCAATTTGACCTGGGAAATTCAAAAAGTTTAAGCCCAAGAGCAACTTGCTAGGTTCTGCTTTTCTAAGAGAAGTCCCTCTGGCTGCCTGAGAGCTGTGTGTCTAAGTAGGATGGCGTGTTCTCTCTCTGTGATGGCCCTGGGAGCATAAGTAGCGGTTGTTCTTCTGGAGGCAGGCCCTTCTTTCCTTTTATTCTTGTGGTTTTCATATTCGCAGTGTTTGTACAGTGAAAACCCAGTTGCCTTTTCAGTAATAAATACATTAATATTTGCTAATGTTGAGGTGGAGAGATCAGAATATAGATGATTACAGACTAGATAGTGTCTGGAATTACTTCACCTGCACAGTCCACCACTACTGAGATTAATCTCAAATTTCCCCCTTAAATCCTGTTCTTCTCCATACTCCTTATCCTCCTAACTCTCCCACCCCTAACTCCCAGCACTCACTCATCTTAAAACTCAGGTGTAAGAGCATAGGTTTGGTGTACAGAACTCCTACCCTTTATTAAAGAAAGGGAGTACTTTTTTTTTTTTTTTAAAGATTTATTTATTCATACATGCAAGAGCTGGGGTATAGGCCAGAGGCACAGGGGGGTGAGAGGACTCACCAGAGACAGAGTGGGGAACAGAACAGGCAGGCAGACTGAAATGCACAGCTGAGGGGAGCAGCGGGCGAGACAGGAGAGGTCTCCTGCGCCATGTGGGTAGCTCCCTAGCCAGGGATCTAACTCGTGCTGCAGTGGTTGTAGATTGCTTCATAGGTTGCGTCTTAACCCTTGCGCCACCAGGGAGGCCCAGGGAGTACCTTTTTATGCCTGTTTTACACAGTTTCCTCCCCCCCCTTTTTTTTTTCTTCTTTGTGATTTCTATTAACTTCTTAAGGTTTAGACCCAGTGTGCCTGCTGGGCTGTGCCCAGGTTCAGAGCCATGCCAATTGGTGGGTGAAGCTTGAGGCAGTGATGGAGCCACTGCAGCCGCAGAAGCAACAGCAGCAGCAGCAGCAGCAGCCACCACCAACGCAGCAGCCGCCGCACCTGGCTCCTGTGCAGATGGATGCCAGAGAGAAGCAGGGACAGCAGATGAGAGAGGCCCAGTTCTTGTATGCCCAGAAGCTGGTCACACAGCAGACTCTCCTCTCTGCTACACCTGGCAGGCCTTCGGGCAGCCCTGCCCTTGGTCCCATAGCCCGAGTTCCACCTGCCACGGCGGTGGCCCGAGTTTTTGAGCGGAGCAATGCGAACTCAGAGCCTGAAGAAGAGGAAGGTGGTTTGGAAGATGAGGAGGGGGATGATGATGTTGAAGAGGTGTCTGAGAAGGAGGGCCAGGCTGCTTCAAAATATTTTCATATGCAGAAAGTGGTTCGCCAAGACCCCAGAGCAGCCCCCATATCTGGTCTGCTCCCAGCACCAGGTCTCCCACCTCATGGACAGCAAGCTAAAGAAGACCATACCAAAGAAGCTTCCAAGGCCCCACCTTCCATGTCCTCGGGTGGGCAGCCCAGCTGGAATCTGGATGAGCGACTCAAACAGGTCAGTGTTTCCGCATCGGGAGTCAGTGGGTGTTCCCGAAGGCTAGTCGGAGTGGGGTGCTGGATGACCAGGCCCCTGTTTTGGTGACCTGTGGTCTAGAAATGAATGGACTTTCTTCTTCACAACTGTTTTCTTATTAAAGCAATGAAATATGTAAGTTACTCCTAATGTAGATTGGTCCACATGTGATGTAAAAGAATGTCAGTATAATCTCTCATTTTAAGGAAGGCTGAGCTACCCCAGTGTCGGGAGAGCAACACAGGAGATGTGTAGCTCTAATTACAGTTTTCCTAGTAGTAACACGAAACAACAATCTTGCCTTAGACGGTTTCTTTGTTCCAGTCTAACCCAGAATAATGTTCTTTAAGAACAGTTTTGCTGTCTTGCAGCTAAACAAAGATGGCAAGAAGTGCTTGCATTGTATATATTTTCCATCACATCAAAGATAGTGGTTTCATTTCACCCTTTCATTTCACCCTTTTGAAACAGGGAAGGGTAGATCTCAAAATTGCTTTTAGTGAAGGCAAGTTTAAGTGACTCCCAAACATGGCCAAGTATCAGAGTCGTCAGGTAACTTTAAAAAATGACAAATCCCAGCGTTCTCATGAATTATCTTGGGGGTTGAAGCCTAGGGAATCTGTTCTCAGCTGAGCCTTTGACTTCTAATTTCTCTTTCCAACCCGCAAAGTAGCTTTTCCTCACAAAAGAATGAGAATAATAAGTTGTTCCAAGTTAAGTGACTTGTTGCTTAGGTGTGGAATTTATGATAGAGCTGTTGCATCTGGGTACTCCCTATAAGCACACACTGTTCATGTGGTTCAGCGGTGCTGTTTAGAAATCAATTGTGAAGAGCTGTGGCTTGAACACAGGGCAACTGAGAAGTCTTCTAAGAAAGGGCCTTTGGAACCTGAAAAGTCAGCTTCTTTGTGTCAAGGAGCCTCATGCAGTTGATCTGAGTTTTCCAAGAGCCTGTGTTTGCAGTCGATTCCAGAGCTGGCAAAGTAGGATTCAAATCCTATCTCTTCCATTCACTACCCTTGTGATTTTCTCATGGGACTCTTAAGTCCTCTGAGCCAGTGTCAGCTTATCTGTGAAATAAGACTCATAAAGTGTACCTCCCAGCGATGTGTGAGGATTAACTGAGCTAGCACGAGGTCAGCAGCAGTGCTCCAGGTGCTCTTTTATGCAAACACTTCAATTCAGCCCTTGCTGTGTCCACCTAGATGTGTTCTGAAGCAGGAAGATGCTAAGATACACACAGGTTTCTCTCAGATCTCCAGGGTGGTAATGGCAGAGCTAGGACTAGGATCAGAGGATCCCAACTTCCACGACAGCAGCAGCCTGGCCGCCAGCCCAGTCCCGCCTCCCTGCTGATGGCTCTGGTTTTGCAAAACATCTGTGAACAGCCGGCAGCCCCCGCACCGCGGTGTGGTTGGCAGAGTTCCACGCCGGCCGCTGACTCAGCTCAGAGTAGGATCCCGCCCTGACAGCACTGGGAAAGTTCAGGCCCGAGGCAGGCGGCCGGGCTGCCCCCGCCTTGGCAGTTGGCCAGCCTCTGCGTGTGTGCGGTCGTTCCTAGAAAGTGCAGCCGCGTGCGAGGAACAAGTGGAGCTCCAGAGCCTGTCGTCTTCAGGAAGTGCAGCAGGTGTTGAGGTCAAGCCATTAGAGCTTTGAAAAAAGAGACTCTTCAGAACTGGCATGTGCCTGCACACACGTGTGCGTCCTGGCTGGCACCCAGCGCCTCTTCTGTGCGGCGGCAGCCCTGTGGCTAGCCGGCTCAGTGCCCAGTGGGCTGGCTCTTGGTTTCTGAAACCCTCTGAGTTCATTTTAAGCTTCCGAGGCACCCTCACTAATTATAGATTGCTTGGCAGAGCACCTGCCAACATGTTTTATGAATGTCCCTGTAGCTAGAGCCTCATCTTACATCCTAAATTTACCTTCCACCTGGATTTGGAGTTGAAGAGCTGGGTTAGGGGGTTATTGGGTAACAGTGTAACCTGACATGTGCACCTCCTTTTCCTTTTGAATTTAACTTTTCAAAGTCAATTTGGACTGTGCCCTCCTCCTTTGTCTAATTCTGCTTTTAAAAAGAAGAAAATGATGTTCTGGACAATTTCAATAACTTTTATTTTAGTTGTGCTGGGGGGGAGGGAGCTGAAAAAATAATATCCTTGGGGAGAACCTGTGGAAACTACTGCAATCCATGATACTAGCTTTTTTGTTGTTTAAAGTCTGTTTCTTATGCAGCTAAACTCTAGAGAACAGAAACAAAAGTATCCCTTGCCCTGGCAACAACTGGAGATCTTTATCTCTTAAGGTCAACACAAAATGATCCCATTGTTAACATGCGACTGTGTCCATTTTGTTCTTTGCCATAGAGGCCTCTTTGGGCCAGGCGGGTACTCCTGGGCCAAGGCACACTGCTCGGGGAGCTCACTGTAGCACAGATCAATGTGGGAACCCCGAAGCGGGTGGGTCCTGGGTTGCAGGTTTCGTTCTCTCTAGGGTCAGCTCAAGCCCAACTGCCCAGTCTGCGCTATGGTGTAAATATTTTAAAAACAGTATCAGGGACTCCCTGCTGGTGCAGGGGTGAAGTCTTAGCACTATCAAGCTATTGCCGGCCACTGCAGCATGAGTTGGATCTCTGGCCAGGGAGCTACCCACATGGCACAGCAGACCTCTCCTGTCTCGCCCGCCGCTCCCCTCAGCAGTGTATTTCAGTAGGTTCTCCTGTTCTGCTCCCCCCTCTGTTTCTTGTGAATTCTCTCACACACTTCTCCACCTCTGGCCTACACCCCAGTTCTTTTATGCATAAATAAATAAAAATAAAACTTTACAAAATAAATTAAAAAAAAACAACAACAGTATCAGTAAGAAAAGAGTGTTTTTTTTTTTTACCTTTCTTCCAAGGTGAAAAAGTTCACTCCATCCACCACATAGCTAGCCTCGCTTGGTAAGCCAACAGGAATACTCAAAAGTATCTTGCAAGATTAGGAGGCAGGGGTAGTAGGAACCTTGCCAACTGAAAAACAAAATTCGTGAAGCTTAAAGTGTCCCTAGATTATCTCTTGTTTCTGAAATCCCTATCTTAGAACATGCAAAGCCAAAATAATTTCATAGATTCTCTTTGAAGAAACACTTAGGAAATAATTGGGGTAGGCCTGGATTGTTAGAGAATGAGTAGGTATTCTCTCACACCAGCGTGATTGGAAGGTGGGTAGTGCTGTCGAGCTAGGCATTTTCTAGCCCTCAGATTTCGATGAGCAGAGTAAATAATTATAAAACAAGATCACAGGCAAAGGTGAGTGTCCCTTCTCTCAAGAGAGATTGGTGGAGCCCATCAGCACGCATCCAGCGAGGGCGTGTTGCTGGCCTATTGGTGGTGGTCTTCTGTCCTCCCGGGAAGAGGAGGCTACGGGCAGAACAGGCTCTGTCTATCTTGAGCGCATGCGTGGAACCAGGTTTCCTGAAAAGCACAGACTCGCCACCGTGAAGTAGAAAGATGGGAACATGGACGCTAGAGTGTGTCTGATGCGCGCATACTTGGGCAGTCGCTTCAGTTATCGGGTGTGGGGAAGAGGCACAAATTCTGGTCTCCAGAATTTGTTATCAAGAGTTTCTTTAACAGTCAGATGTACTCTCTTGGACTAGACCTCAATTTCTCAGTACGCAATGCATGTCTTTGGAACATTCGAGGCTTTATGTAAAGATTTTGTGAACCATTGCCTGAAAAAGAATACAGTCACAACTTTCCCCTCCACTTTGTTGGAGTGTCTTGCACGCCCCTGGCTTCTGTAATCACAGTGGAATCCCTCTAGATCCCTGGTTCTCAACTGGAGGTCTCTCTGCCTCACCCCTCAGGGCTGTTTGACAATGTCAGAGGGCAGTTTTGGTTGTCATGGCTGGGAGGCAGCTTGCTATTGTTTAGTGGGTAGAGGCCCAGTTGTAAATATCCTATCCCCCACAGAAAATAATTACCTGGTTCAAAATGTCAGTAGTGCCAAGATTGAGACTCCTTGCTTGAGAGCGTGTTATCTAGAAGAAACATACTCTGTGCTGTCATCACATGTTGCTCTCCCATTTACTTGACTTGCATTCTTGGTAAATAAGGAGTTTGGATACTTTGAGCTTTCTTTACTTCTATTTTCAATCTCCTTGTTGAGTTCGTGTCTTCATTTGGTAATCATCTGGGTGAACAGACTGTCACTTGGGCAAGGATTAGGCTGAGAACTTGAGCTCTCTTTGGCGCAACCAGAGCTTCTTCCAGCCCAGCATTCCATGATGCATAAGCTATTTGTGGTGATTTGTGAGACTGCTTGCCCTTCCAGACATTAACCCCAAAAGAGTAAGGCTTAAATACTCTGTAAACTTATTATTTAGTACCAGATTTCGTTATTAAGTCAGCAGTGGTTTTAGAGCCAAAAGATGTGGGGTTAGAGCCGAGGTCCTCCGTGCTGTCGTACTGGGGACAGATGTCCTCAGCTGCTTCTCTGACCCACATGAAGCCTAGAGAATGATCCTCTCCTGCCATCCCCAGGGAGCGATTTTAAATATGTTACAAAGGTGGAAGAATATGAATGTGAAGGATTTTTGTCAAATTTATACATCATACAAAAGACTAGGTTTGATGTCAGCGGCACCTGAATGTTTTTGAAGCTACAATTTGTGAATTTTACTATGTATATCTTTCTCTTTTTTTGGATCTTTTTTGCTATCTTTGTAGGTGACATACTCCATAAATCCTAGACGCTCACAACTCCCTTTTAAGATTTCTAGAACTGTGACCAAACTCTAGTATTTGGAAATTCTTGGACACATTTCAAGATTATGTGAGTTTAAGCTAACACTTCACTTTTGAAGCTGCTTCTTTCCATATTAAAATAGGGATACATGCGTATTTTTTTTCCTTTAGGTATAAGGAAGCTTTATTTATCTTAAAGTCTTATAAATACATGATCAGCAACTTTACTTTGGTCCTTAGCCTTCTGACTAAAGACTAA